CCTTTGTTATTGGTCTGTTTAAATTGTGTGTGTCTCAATTGTGTGTGACTCAATCTGGGCAGCTCATATGACTTAAGAGATTTATCGATGTCTTCACTGAAGGACAAATTTTTTAAAAAGCCATAAATATATAGAAAGACCAATAGAGCAAAGGAAAGGGAGCAAATAGAGGTTGGAGAGGAGGGCAAGAGGAAGTACTGTGGATTGAATTGGAGCAAATTATAGTTCATGCTTGTATAATTATGTCACAGTGAACTCCAAAATTGTGTATAGCTATAATGTACTAATGATGATAATAATAATAATAGTAATAATAATAAGAAAGCCCTCAGGTGATGCAATATAGAAACACAACCATGACTCTACTATCTTGCTGTATCTGCAAAATATTCCTTCCAAGGGAGTGGCAACAGCCTCTACTAGGAAAGGGAGATCGGAGGGAAGATTTGAGTATGAGGTGTCCCCCAAAAGCTCACATATGAGGCAATGCAAGAATGTTCAGAGGTAAAATTAGATTAGATCATGAAAGCTGTAACCTAATCAGTGGATTAATACACTTGAATGGATTAACAGAATAGTCATGGTAGGCAGGTAGGATGTAGTTGGGGGAAGTAGGTCATTGAAGGCATGCATTTGGGCATGCATATCCCTGTTATGCTCTTTTCTCTTTCACTTTCTGGCTGTCATGAACTGAGTGGCTTTTTTCCTCCCTGCCCTTCTGTCATGATGTTCTGCCTCATATTGGGCCCAGAGTTATAGAGTTAGCTGACCATGGAGTAAGCCTCTTAAATCATGAGCCAAAACAAACTTTTCCTCCTCTAAATTGTTCTTGTCAGATATTCTGGTCACACCAATGCAAAGCTGACTAAAACTGAAGCTTAGCAGTTTCAAAATGGTAGATGGTTAGCTGCTGGCAAGGCACAATATGACCTCTGATAAGCCCTATCACAGTCTGTGCTCTTCTATCTGATGTGGCTCCCGACACAGCTGAAATGGGGCAGTCAGTAGAGATTTTGTTGATGGCAACTATCACAGTCACTATTGCTGAATAAATGGATAGTCCAAAGCTGGAGCTCAATGGTGAATAAAACCCATCGGGTGTCAGGAATTTGAAAATGGGCTTAGAGGCTGTGCATGCCCTACTAAGTAACAAGTCAGCCTGTCTAGAGAATCATTCATGCAGCAGCCAGCTGGCACTGAGTGATTTCTCTGGAACGGCCTAAATCTCTAAGAACACCCATCCATCGGTCACAGCTCTAGCCTGCATGGGGTTCCACTGACTGCTTCCCCAACCTTAGCATCAGCCTGCACGGAGCCCCTCACTCACAGCGTTCTGCGTCTTACCAGCTGTCTGTCAGCGCCCTGACAGCTCTTTTCTGCAGGATTTTCAGCTCAGTTGTGCTGATTGAAGATGTCTGCAATTCTCAAGCACAGAAAAGAGAACAAGCAGGGAGGGATTGAGGTATGTCGAAAAAGATGAACTCTGAGAAAATCTCCAAGTTAATTAAGGTTACTGGTCTTAAGAGGACAAGCTTTCTCTATTGCAAGAATTTCTGTGGTCAAGGTGCTCACTAGGCTTGAAAATCTTTGGGTTTGTTTTTGCTGGTTTCACCAGATTTAAATGCCTGGAATCCAGCTCAACAAATTCTTGGCACTATTCATATGAAAGTCTATATCCACTATATTTTGACATTCTGTGTTTATGGGGTCAGCTGGATGCATAGATCTGGGTGTTAGAAAAGAAGTGATTGATGTCTCTATTACCACAAGATAGTAGCAAATAAAATCACTTGGAAAGCTGTAAACTTTCAAAGTTTTAAGGAAATTTTAAAAGCTTAAAAGAAGCTTGGAGGTTAATCCTAAAAATCCTAGCCAGAGCAAATGGAAAGAAGGAAGTTGGATTAGATGTTCTCCAAATTTCCTTCCCAACTCTAAGATCAGGCAATTCTGTACTGCAAGACATAGAATACTTTTGATTCCTATCTGGAAGATAAAATTTAGAAAGTTCTACTGCATGTGTATATTTATAAGTTTAATATGTATTATTTTACTAATATATGATTCATAACATAAAAATGATACATATATATTTTCAAAGAATGCCATTAATATATGCATAGACATGCTAATATTTTCTCCCAAGTCCTAGAGGTATAAAATGGTATCTCCCTTGAAGTATAAGCATGATAGTTTGGATGACATTGCTATAGACAAAACTCTTTATTTTCCTATTTTACTTAGTACTATATAGCACCAAAGGGATTTAGATAAAATAAAACTTCCCAGTGGGCAGTTTACTGAGCCATTCATTGTTCTTGTCAGATATTCTGGTCACACCAATGCAAAGCTGACTAAAACTGAAGCTTAGCAGTTTCAAAATGGTAGATGGTTAGCTGCTGGCAAGGCACAATATGACCTCTGATAAGCCCTATCGCAGTTCTGGAATCAGAGAGACCCAGGTTTATGCTGTGGCTTTGCTAATATTTACCCACATGAACCTACACTGCTACTTACATTATTGAGCCACATGTGTTTTTCACCTGTAAAGCAGACCTAATTCCACTCATAGTTCCCATCTCACAAAATTGTTGAGGCAATGAAGATAAAGCATGTACAATGCTTGGAAATGTACCTGATAAAGATAGAATAAATTTCAACTATTGCTGAAATTTAAAAATTAATATATTCTTATTAACTACCACTTTCCCCAGTGTGACAGAATTAACTGTGGCTCAAGTTCGAAGATCTAAACCTCTTTGTGTGCACAGAAGCTCACAGCTATATAGCTGAAGGCCTAGGAACTCGGGTACCCATTGCTTCCTCCTGAAGGCCTCTTGGCCCCTGAAAATGTAAGATTTGTCCTTATGAAGGCCTCAGACAAGTGCCTGACTGTCTTCAGTTGTGACCTTATCCTGCCTAGAGTCATTGTGGGGTTCAATGGTACAGAGAAGACAGAAGAAAATCTTGCCTTTATAGGAGATGGAACCAGTAACAAAAGGGAGGGAGAAGGAGTGATCCCTCAACTGCTGTCGTTCAGATGCTTTTTTTCCTGGAGAGCTAAGCTGTCCATCATCCATTACATTTTATTCTCTTTTGGAATATAACATATTACAATGTTTCTGGATTTTTTTTTTCCTGGCCAAGATTAAACATTGAGAAATGAAACCAGAATCTGCTACTTACCACTTATGTGACATGGGGAATTATGATTCTGAGCTTCAGTGATCTGGGAACATAACTTAGGCAAAAAAGACACAACAACAAAAAAAAAAAAAAAGAAAAGAAAAGAAAGAAAGAAAAGAAAAAAAATACACCAGACAAAAAACGTGCTTTTGTATACATTTCCATACATAAGTGCTGGGTTATTTTTGGTTCTTTCTCCAAGGGGAAATGGTATGGTAAGATTATGAACAACAAAACAGAAACTCTATTTTAATACTCCATGCTTGTGTGGATCCTATCGTTGAGGGAGAGAAAACTATAGGAGAGCACTAAAGAGAGTGAGAGAGAGAGACAGAAAGAGGAAGAGAGGGAGAGAGTTCTCAGTATAATTTAAGAAAACGGGCTTTAGAATTAGAGGGGAGCAAAATGAAGGGTGAGGAATGTAACTATTATAATTCTGATCTATTGCACCATCTAAAAGAGACATCTATTTGAACTCCTGTTCAAGCAGCAATTACCTGGAAAATAAATGTAATAAGGATCTCCTAAGCTGGCAGTAAAATTAGCATCACTGAATTTTAATTAATAGTCCAACTTGGAAGGAATATACTTCACCCCCTTGATGAAAAGAATGGCCTCCACCATGGGGCAAACTCTCCCAAATCAGTGCTTTCAGTTGGTATTTTTTTAAACTTAGTTTCCTGGATATTTTTCCACCATCAAGGACACTGGGGAAATCATTAGAATAAGAATATTACAACAGCCCATTGGAAGAAAAGACGTTGATTGCGACCTCCTCTGTAGGCCTTGGTTTTCTCATTTGCAACACGGTGGAAGGGTGTGTTATAGGTAGGGAAGGCTTGATCCAGACCTCTTGGGTTCCTTTGAGCTTTAATATTCTTCATGTTTTGGTCTACATACATGTTCTTTCCAGGTTTTCTTTTTTTTTTTTTTCTGTATTAAATGTTGCCATAATAACAATGACATCAATGGTAATATGGAGGAGGGGATTTAACGAGAACCTAAGATGTACAAGGCACTGGGCGAGGAACTTTATAAGAATTGTTAATTGTGGTTGTCATGGCATTCCTTTTATATAGCTCTTATTTGTGTCCCCATTTCATGGATGGGAAATGGTACTCATCAAAACTTAAGCCCATACAGCTGGACATCAAATGGTCATGGTGGCACTGAAATGACAAAAATTAAGTGAAGTTTTGCCACAGAGACTCTTAGGAATCCTACTAATTCCTTCTGGGAATCAAAGAAATGCCATTTTTCTAGGGATCTTAGCCTAAGCAGGCTCAATTCATTCTTTATTTTTAAAAAACTTTTTCTTATTAGTTATATGTGACAATAGAATGTATTTTGACACATTATACATCTCTCAAGTATCACTTCTCATACTTCTGGTTGTACCTGATGTGGAATTACATGTTGTATATTCATATATGCATGAGGAAAGTAAAGTCCTATTCATTCTACTATCTTTCCTATTTCCATTCCTCCTCCCTTCCCTTCACTCCCCTTTGTCTAATCCAAAGTACTTCTATTCTTCCCTACCACCCCCTTATTGTGAGTTAACATCCTCATCCATATGGCAGAGAACATTCAGCCTTTGGTTTTGAGGGATTGATTTATCTCCCTTAGCATGATATTCTCTAGTTCCATCCATATACTGCAAGTGCCATAATTTCATTCTTCTTTATGGCTCTGTGTGTGTGTGTGTGTGTGTGTGTGTGTGTGTGTGTGTGTGTGTAGGGATATTTTCTTTATCTATTCCTCTGTTGAATAGCTAAACTATGGAACCAGCTAGGTGCCCTTCAACAGCAGGCTTAATTCTCATAAGATTTACCAGCCCTGACCATAACATTCTGCTAGGGATTCCCTTCTCCTCTCATTTTCCCCAAGCAGTGCAACCATTTTTTATTCCAATACTCAGGGCATTTTCAGATCACCTTTGGCTATTTCATATTCTTTCTTAATATCCAAGCATTCATCAAATTTTGTTCTTTTATTACTTAATTCAGTACTAATGGGTCAGATACCACATGAGAAAGTCTACAATAATAGTTATTTAATTTGCCTGTGCTTTAGAATTTTCAAAGGGTACTCACATGCATTGTCTTATTTAATTCTTGCAATAGCTCTCTGAAACAGATGATTTGTATTTTACAGATGAAGAAATGGAAGCCCACAGGGAGCCAAAATCAGACAGTTAATGAGAGGAAGAGTTGGAATTAAGTCTGGATCTCTTGAGTTCTAGAGTTCAGTGTCTTAGTCCATTTTCTGTTGCTGTAACAGAATACTTGAAAGAAGGTGATTTATAAAGGAAAGAAGTTCATTTAGCTCACATGTCTGGAGGTTGGAAGTCCCAGGTCAAGTGGCAGAATCTGGCAAGGATTTCTTGCTGCATCACATCACAGTCGAAAGCATAAGGGTAAGTGGATGTGTGGCAAAGGACAAGCATGAGGGCCTAGGTTTGCCTTATAACTACATATTCTTGCAAGGTCAAACCTATTGCTTCCAGAAAGACATTAATCCTTCCTAGGACTTCATTTCCTCTTAAAAGCCCCAGGTCATACCACTCCTACAATGGCAATCTAATTTCAATGTGAGTTTCAGAGGAGACAAACCATATTCAAACAATATTGCTCAGTGTCCCCAGCAAAAGGATCCTCCTTGGTGACTCCTATATCTGTCTTTTTCTCTAATTTCCATGGTTTCAACCAAAGTCTAAGTCTATATTCTCTCATTTCTATTACAATAGCATCATGGTTGATTTCTGACCTTCGACTTCAATCTAAATGTAAACTCTAATTCCTTGTTTTAAACTTACAGTGGATCTATGTTACATTTCTCTATAAATCTTTCAAGGTTCTCTGTCATCCTTAGTACAACTTTGTAGGCACATATTCATCACTCCTCTTTCATTGTTTTAGTTCCCCTACTATCCTTCAAATACATTCGGCCATTGTTATAGTTATTGTTTCCATATGTGCTTCCCAGGATATCTGGCTCATCTTTGTATCCCTAGACCCTGGCTCCACGGTGTACACAGGGTGACATTCAAACCATAAATGAAGTTTAATACCCTCTGAATTCCAATCTCAGCACTAAAAGCCTTACTTCTTAAAGGCCCAATTTCATCACATTGAAATAACTAAGTTTTGTGTAACCCTTCTAGCTTATATTTTTAGTGTCCAAAATGTATAAGCATCACCTCAGAGCTTGCATGAGATGCTGTAAGAGATGGAGAATCTCAAGGAACATTGGACTGAATCAAGCTCTAATACTGGTTTGCATATAAGTTCTAAGAAGTATGGTACAAAAGACTTTAGTCATGTTGACAAGGATCAAATAGAAACTTTAATGTCTGAGTGTTTCCGTTGGAATTCCAGGTCTGTGTTTACTGGTTTTGTGACCTTGAATACACTTGTAAAATTCTCTGTGCCTGTGTTTCCTTATATATGAAATGAAGATAATGATAGTTCACCAACCGCAAGCCAGGCATTTTTGGTGCATTACTCATTACTTAATTATCGTATACACATTTTGGATATTCTTATTAAAATTTAATGATGAGAATGCTGAGACAGCCTGGTACTGTCCAGGTTGTACAATGCACTAGCTGGCAGAATTTAAACGCAAAACACATCCATTTGGTGATAAATGCCATTTCATCTTCATGCTCTCATTCTGTACACTGCGTTGTTTGGTTCAATCACATATTATTGTGAAGATAAAATGAGATTCATGTTTTCCTGTGTTTTGTGCCCTGAAAAGCTATATACAAGTGTTATTAATTCCTAATCGTATTGATAACATGAATTGTTCTCTAATTGCTTCAAATATTTTTCTTTGTTTCTTTGCAGTATTTGAAGAATTTGAGCTACCACTTCTTACAGCAAACAAGAAATATCAAATATATACTGAATGCACATGTGGATGCTTGCAAGAGCTGATTAGTGATGAGCCAGGGACAGAATGAAAGGAGGCAGAAAATACAGGAGAAGAAGATAAACTGGCATTTGATTTATCTGGGGGACAGAAAAGTGTGAAAGAAAATTGATTAGAAGTGGGCCAAAAAGATGAACCTGGAGTGTTTTAGATTATTCAAGGAGGAAGTTAGAATTCTTGAGAATGGTTTATGCTGAAAAAGCTAGGAAAGAAATTGGTCATTGGGTTTTACTTATGGATTTCTCTAAAGCATGGAATGTGTGTGTGTGTGTATGTGTGTGTGTGTGTGTGTGTGTATGTGAGCGCACACTTCAGGAAGCTGGGCTTTCTCATGACATCCTATTTATCTATTTGTATATAAATGAATTATTTACCCTTTGATGATTCTGTGGGAATTCTAAAATGGGCAGAATTATAGAGTTATCAAAGTAAGATCTAAGCAACATCTAGAAACCAGAGAGAGTGGGCATTGCTCCTGGAAAGACCATCATAATTTGTAGTATCACAAATGCATCTACCATAGAACTAGACCCTCCTCCTTAGTGAATGGTGTGGTCACCCCTGTGTTTGGACACTGTTGGTCATCACAGAAGGGATTACTTATACATTCTTCCACAAGTTCCTCTGTTCTGATGTAAGAGGAACTAAAGCAGCTTATCTGACTTCCAATATGGAGGGAGACGTACAACCTAGGAAGAGAGGATTTCAACCTCCTTGGGAGGTCTGGGACTATAGATATTAGTGTCAATTCAAAGACTGCATATAGAAAACTGTCAAGAACAAGTAGATTAAGAAATGGAAGCTGGGGGGTAGTTTAGCCAGTCTAGACTGCTGAAGTCATATGGGACTAAGGAGAAAGTTTTGACTGTTCCTAACTGGGTCAGGCTGGACATCCCCCACATTGTGTACCTATAACTTGAGGTTGACATATAGTCAGTATTTTTAAGATCTTCACATTTTCTGCAACTAGTTTAAGAAGAGCTCATGACCAAGGAGAACTAAGGAAAAACACTGCATTTCCAGAACCTGGTTTGAGGAACAAAAAACAGCATTCACACTTTGGTTTGGGGAATAACTTTGTATTTCCTTCTACCTCTTAGTAGAATAATAATCTACTTGGGGCAAGGGTCAGGACAACTGAAATATAATTAGAAACATACTGATCTGAGACTGGAAATTTTCTTTTTCAAGCTCAGCACTTTGCTATTTAATTGCAGTATGCTCTGTAAATGTACTTAACCTTCATCTATCAAATAGAATAATAATACTTCTCAGGGTTGTTCAGGTTAAATATAATGATATCTGAGAAGATGTTTATATCTGTCAATTTGCTTGTTTTTATGTCTGAAACTTTTAAATATAGAAACTATTAAAACTAGAGATAATAATTGAGTTCTGACTATGTGTTAGGCACTGCACTAAGGAGTTTATATGCATTATCTATCCTTGGAATATTTGTACTTATGTAGGTAATATTTTTGTCCACATTTTGCAGATGAGTAAATTAAGGCTTAAAGAAACTAACAAACTAGCTCCCAGGTAACATAACTGCTGGATGGCAGAGCCAGAAGTTAATTACCACTTGTCTCTCTAAAGATGGGGCCATCTTGACCTTTGAACTCCAGCATCATGAGAGACAATGGGTTGACTCTTAAGAACATGTGGTTGTATTATAATGATCTGGAGGAGCAGAATTGTTGGGTAACCAGAGGCTTGTTTGACAAAAGACACAGATCAGCATCATTGAAGGCAAAAGCCTATAACATAGGAGCCCCGCTAAATTTGAATTTTTATAAACACTGAGTAAATTTTAATATAAGTATATACCATGCAATTATTGGAACATGCTTAAACTAAAAGTGATTTTGTCGTATTTTTATGTGATGAATCAGGCAACACTGATATGACAGGGTATTTGTTTCAGAATGAGCCAGAATCTATCAGAACCCAAACCTGTGATTTGGTTTCAGAGCTTGGCTGGGAACTGAGAGGTGTGTCTGGAAGTGGGAGAGGTGAAGGTCAGTGAGATGCACTAGATAAGACTGCATCAGGCTCAGGACATCCATATTCTAGGCCTCACTCCTCCTGCCTGAACCGGCTCCACCTTGCCCTGCCTGCTGTGATGTGGCACAAGAGGTCTCCACAGGTTCTGCAGCCAAATGCCCTTTGTGACTGAGCTTTACATCAGAAGACTTCAAAGTCAGCACAGCATAAATAGGTGTTGTTTCCAGGAACCAAAGGTTTGGGAAGAAAAGTGGCCATGAAACAGGGGGGTAGCCCACAATTCTCTTACAAGAGTGAGGGTATGGAGGGAATTTACATGTGAAAACTGAAAAACAATTCATTCAGAGCCAATTTCAGCTCAGACCAGGGGGAAAATTGCTGTTCAAATTGGTATTTCCATTGCCAGGTTTATTGACAAAAATGAAATAAAAAAGCCTTTTTGTTTTATGAATTTGTTGTCAATTACAAAAAATAGAGGGATTTATATTCACCAGTTGGTGACATACTGGATTTTGACAAGCCTTTTCTTTTATAAAGTGTAAAAATCCTTATGGTTGAGCCAGAATACACCCTCACTCCATGGAGAGCAATGTGGCTCTGGGTTTTTGGATAGAATCTTTCATCTGTGCATGCATCAGTGAATTCTTCCCTCTTCCCAGGAGGCCTGTCCTCATTTTGAAACTGAGGAAAGCAGGAGTCAGATAAAGGAAGTGACTTTTCCAAGGTCACAGGTGGACGAAAGTGGTGGTTGCTACATAATGCTGAGCTCAGATTCTCTACAGCTGGCCTAGACTCTCATTCTCCCTAAGCCCTGAAGCATCCTTCCCCACCTGACCAGGGAAGTCCAGGCTGTCCAGACCTCTGTCCTCATAGCTTTACAATCACCTATGGCTCAGAAGCCGGCTACTCTTCCTGTTGGCTCTGCCATCTCCCAGCCCTCTTTCACCATTGTCTACAATCTTTCTCAGCTTAATTCATTTTGAAATGTGTAGGGATCATAACTTGTGGGGTCGTACAAGAAGCCAGCAGCCCTTCCATAATTGCCATTGACGTGGAAATACAGGAGTAAATGAGTAGCAATTCATATGTCGCTGCATGACAGAACAAAAACCTCTACTGAGGAATTAAAGCCATAAATATCCTACAGGGCTCCTACCTGCGAGCTTGTTCCTGACATCTGGAATGGCAGCTCATTGGAGCCACTCTGCTGTCAGCATGCTGCTTGCAATGCTGGCTGCAAGGAAGCTGTGAGAGCAGAAGGGACAGGAAGGGGAAGTGTGGCAGGGAAGCAGAGGGATGCAGGGTTTACCAATGGGAACCTGGTGACAAAATCCTCCCTCCCCCAGCAGTGACCAAGAGGCCCTGACCCACTCACTGCTGCTCTGAGCCTCCCATAAGGCCTGCTTGTGACAAAAGCCCTGTCCTTGTAGGAGATGTTAGCAGCTTTGTGGCTTGTTTCCCATCTGGTTGACAGGAATGTGACAGCTCAGAGCTTGTGCTCCTGGAGGGGAAAGTGCTGTGGGCAGAGAAGAGAGAGAAGCTGCAGCTCGGGTTGCCCACATGGTTGTGTCTGAGCACGCTCCAACAGGCTGCAGAGATGAGGGAAACACACAGAAGCTCAGAGGAAATCTAGTCGGTGATCCATGGAAGTGAGGAATTTTACTAATGGGGGTATCTTTTGGCAGATGTTTACTATTTCTGGAGGTAGGAGGGGTGTTGTTGGCAGGGATTGCATCCTGTGCTAGAAGCAGCTGGTGAACTGTGATTCTCCCATTGTGGTGGGAATTCCCAGGCCTGGTGCTTTTTGCTGGGACCAACAGTATTTGCTGAATGAAATGGATCCATAACTACTCACGACAATTTGCACAGTGTTTTTAGGGCCTTGGGCTGAGTATTGAAGGGAAACATTTTACCTTTACATGACCTGTATTTCCTTTGTCCACAGTTCAGCTCTGGGCTAGTACAGTTGATCTCCTAGACACAGACCATTCTAGTTGAGCCAGTTTTCGGAATGATGGTCTTGGTTGTCATTGTAAAGTCTTTCTAGGCCCTTCGTGTCTTAGTTTTCCTATTTGGAAAATGGGAAGAAAACTAGAAGGTAATCTTAGTTATTAAGGTAGTCTTAGTTATTCAGTCTGCTGTAAGAAGATACCTTAGACCAGGTGAGTTGTAAACAATGTAAATTTATTTCTCATAGTTCTGGAGTCTGGGAAATCCAAGGTCAGTGCCTGGATTCCCAGACATAGATGGCCTTGATTGCACTGTATCCTCATGTGATAGAAGAGCAGCTACTCTAGGTCCTCTTTTGTAAGATTCATGAGTCTCCAGCTTCAGTCCCAGTCACCTCCAAGAGGCTACTCCTCCTAACACCATCATCATGGGGGGTTAGGATTTCACTGTATGGATCTTGGAGAGATGTAAATTTGAGTCCCAGCTGGATACTTTATTTGAGTACCAAGGGGAGTGAGTTAGGACTCAACATTTGAGGCCAAAAAGCTCTCTTCACTCTGTGGTTTACCCAGGTGAAAAGTGCTACAGCTTAGTCTCCCTGTTTCTATGTGAAACTGAGGAGGGTGCAAATGTGGAAAACAGAACGGAGTCCTTCCCAACTCAGCTTCAATTTGGGGAGTTTGCTGAAAATGTGGTGTTTTTATGTGTCAACCAATTCTGAGATTTTTATAAGATGGAGAATAAAGTTAAATGGCAGGAGTAAAGATGTTTGTTATTCTACTTTACATTAAGGCCAAAAAAAAGTGGGTAGGTGTTAGTTCTGGGGTCCCTCATTCCAGCTGTCATGGCAGCTTCCACTTTTTACTTCCCAGGAGAATATCTAATGTGAGTGCAGCTACTGCCTCAGCAGAGGAGAAAATAGGGATTTTCAAGCTGACGTCCTCTGCAGGAAAGTCTACCGCTTCTGCTGCCAAACCTGAGAAAAGGAGATCTACTCTGCCTCCTTTGCAGCACCTCATCAAAGAAGGCCTTGGTATAATCTAGACAATTTTCTTCTCCTAAACATTTCACATGTTGCTCTAAAATTCTGTAAATTCATCATCTTTTTCAAATTTATTTGTTTAATTAAAATTGACAGATAAAATTTCATGTAGGTATTATTAACAGTATGATGCCTTTAAGCACATATTCATTTAAGAAGGGTTATATTCTAGTTAATTTTTGTGGTGAAAACCTTTACCTCGCATATTTATTTTTGTGGTGAAAACACCTAGCATCCAATTTCCTAAGAATATAATATATTGTTGTTAATATTTTGGACAATAGGTCTTTTTGAACTTATTCCTTTTATATCTCTTGACTTAAATGCCTGAGCTTCTGGTCACCACCATTTTACTCTCTATCTCTATCAGATCAACTTTATTAACCTGCCATAATTGGCTTTCTTTGTGTGGCTTATTTCACTTAACATGATATCTTTCAAGTTTATTCATTTTTTCACCAATGATAGGATTTCCTTATTTTTTAAGGGTGACTAATATTCCACTGGACATAGATACAGATATTGCATTTTCTTTATCTACACATTATGAATGGAATTAGTTATTTTACAAAAGAGCTGCCTTGCTCTTGCATAATGTGAAGAGATAGTGCACAGTGATTGATGGACACTGTATAAGTCATCTTTTCATTGCTGTGCACAAAATGCCTGACAAGAAAACAACACAGAGGAGGAAAAGCTTATTTTGGACTCATGATTTCAGAAGTTTAGTCCTTGGTTGGTGACTCCATTGTTCTGGGCCTGAGGTAAGGCAGAACATCATGATGGAAGTGTGTGGTGGAGGAAAATCGCCCTGTTCAAGGTGGCCAAGAAACAGAGAGAAGGAAGGGGCTAAACGGAAGACACACTCTTCCAGGGTACTCCCCCAGTGCCTCTCGTCCTTCGGCCATGTCCCACCTGCCTACAGTCCACCCAGCTAACTCATTTAAACTAAGAAGGATGGGACAATTAGGCTACCTCTCTCATAATCTAATCATTTCACACCTGAAAATGTCTGCATCATCAGGAACTTTGTGGGGTGGGGGGCACCTCACATGCAAGCAATCACAGACACTTAGGTGGATTCCACATCTTGACTACCCTGAATAAGGCTGCAATAAACACAGGAGTGCAAGCCTGCCTTTCACAGACGGATTTCCTTTCCATGGGATTTCTGAATCATGTGGTTATTCTATGTTTAATTTTTTTGTTTTCCATGATGGCAGTCCTAATTTACGTTCCTATCAACAGTGTGCAAAGGTCCCTTTTCTCCACATCCTTCCCAGGACTTGTAATGTCTTCCGTTTTCATCACTTTTAAGACATCGTGGGGCAGGTTGGTAAGGAAGGAAGAGTACATAGACTTAGAAAACAGTTTCAACTCCAAATCTTCATTTCCCCAACAATGAACAATGTGACTGTCAGCAAAATTTCCTCTCTGAGCCCTGCTGTCTTGCCTGAAAATGAGGATAATAATCCTCACCTATCAGTGTCATGGGAAGGGCAAGGGAGCCACTGTGTGTCCTTTGCCGAGCTCATGCCAGGCGCTGAATTAATTATTTCCTGGGCTCCTTCTCCCTCAGCAGTAATCAGCACATGTCACTGCTTCTGCTAAAAGAGATGGTGAAAGAAACAGAAAATATAAGCTAATTTTCTGTTTATTTTTGCAAGGAGAGATGGCTGTTTTCATCTTGATAACTTCAGAGTTGCAACCTAACATAGTATGTTTGCTGAGGAAGCGAAGATAGTGCATTTGCCTCACTAGGCACCTGGGGGATGGGTGAATATTCATGCAAATGAAATATCAAATATTTGGAAAACTCTTCTGAGTTATGCAACTTGAAGTCCAATCTTGAAGACATAACATTTATATAAATAAGAAACTTATTTTGAGTCTTTTAAAAATACTCAAAAATTTTAATAAAGATACTTTACCTAGAGGATTACCATCTCACCACACCTGTAAAATAAGGGGGAGAAGAGGCATATATTTGCTTATTTGTGATACACCATTTCTGGAATAATTCAAGTGAAATTGGTAACCAACTGACAGTAGGAAAAGGAAGTTGGTGGTATGGATCAGGAATTAGAAGAAATTATTTTACTGGGTGCTTTTCATTTCTTTTGAATTTTGAACTATGTGAATGTATTGATTAGCTATTCAAAGTAAAAATACATGAAATTAAAACTTAAAATAGAGATCATATCTAGTGAAAATCAATGTAGTTTCTGTTCATTTCCAAGAAGTTACTTAAATATTTGTAAAACTATGCCATAGCAAAGGTATTTCAAAAATAAAAATATCGATTTCAGTTAATAACAAGGGAAAATCCTCTTATTTTGTATTCATTACTATGCTGTCTAAACGTGTGACTCTCAGAAGTAGTTATATTGCTTGCATGCGTTCTCAGTGGCTGGGTTGGGGGAGGGGTGGTGACTCACCTGGCAAAGGCTCAGATCTAATGAGGCTGAGGTCTGGGCTTTGACCTGGAGAGGGGGAGTTAACTGCATTCTGCTCAGGGCACAGAGATTGTGCTTCTTACCCTGATTAGCTGCTTATGAATGTGGCCCTTCCCCGGGTGGTGACAACCCTGGGTGAAACTCTGATGAAAACAGCACAAGTTCATCGTAGTAGGAAGAAAAGTGGGAGGTCAGGAGTGACCCCATGTAACGGTAGATGTAAATTAGGCAAGGGGATTAGTGATAGTGTTGAAGGTAAAAAGAACACAGGGAACACTTAGAATACTTGCTTGAGTGGATCTACCAGAGGACAATCTAGTGGGTTTCATCAGTAATGGACCACTCTCCCATTCCATTTTCTACCCATGGTTTTCCTCTAGTCCATCCTTGAACCCTTAGAATCTTGTGACCAGAGTTTGTGCAAGTGTCTAAGTGAATTGGGATAAGAGTAGAGGGGTTACTAAAATGCCTAAAGTACCGTCTTACGAATTCAAACTAAATACCTGAACAGATCTTGAGAATCTTCAAAACCTGGCATTAAATCCTCCTCTGAATTCCTAAGATCAGCACTTGTGATATTTTATGCAGAAGA